CGATCTGCAAGCATATGCGATGTGCAAGCATATGCGCTCTGCAAGCATATGTGATCTGCAAGCATATGCGATTCGCAAGCATATGCTATCTGCAAGCATATGCGATGTGCAAGCATATGCTATGTGCAAGCATATGTGCTCTGCAAGCATATGTGATCCGCAAGCATATGCGATCTGCAAGCATATGCGATGTGCAAGCATATGCGCTCAGTAACAAAAACAAGAAAGCATGAAAACATGGAAACGTGAAAACCATCGCAGGACTCGAACCTGCTGTCCAGCAAGTGCTATGCTATGCTATGCTATGCTATGCTATGCTATACTATGCGATGATATGCTATACTGCGCTACACTACGCTATCCTATGCTATGCTATGCTATGCTATGCTGCGCTATGCTATGCTATGCTATCTGCAAGCATATGCAGTATGCAAGCATATGTGATCTGCAAGCGTATGCGATGTGCAAGCATATGCAATGTGCAAGCATATGCGCTCTGCAAGCATATGGGATGTGCAAGCATATGCGCTCTGCAAGCATATGTGATTTGCAAGCATATGCCATGTGCAAGCATATGCAATCTGCAAGCGTATGCGCTCTGCAAGCATATGCGATGTGCAAGCATATGCGATGTGCAAGCATATGCGATGTGCAAGCATATGCGATCTGCAAGCATATGCGGTATGCAAGCAATGCAGTATGCAAACATATGCGATCTGCAAGCAAATGCGATCTGCAAGCATATGGGATATGCAAGCGTATGCGATCTGCAAGCATATGCTGTCTGCAAGCATATGCGATCTGCAAGCATATGCTGTCTGCAAGCATATGCGATTCTGCAAGCATATGCTATCTGCAAGCATATGTGATCTGCAAGCATATGCGATCTGCAAGCATATGCCATATGCGATCTGCAAGCATATGTGATCTGCAAGCATATGCGGTCTGCAAGCATATGCAATCTGCAAGCATATGCAGTCTGCAAGCATATGCAGTCTGCAAGCATATGCAGTCTGCAAGCATATGCAGTCTGCAAGCATATGCGACCTACAAGCATATGCCATTTGCAAGCATATGCGATTTGCAAGCATATGCAATCTGCAAGCAAATGCGATCTGCAAGCATATGCGA